TTCTGTTGGGGGTCTTTTTCTTGGTCTCCAATATGTGCTGGAGAAGTGCAGCTAGAATGCTCCTTGGAAGCAAAAATGGCCAGACTTTGTCTCACCTACTTTGGTCATGTTGTCAGAAGGGACCATTCCCTGGAGAAGGATGTCATGCTTGGTAAGGCGGAGGGTCGATGAAAGAGGGGAAGGCCCTCAGTGAGATGGATTGACCTAGTGGCTGCGGCAATGGGCTCAAGTGTAGCAAGGATTTTGGAGCTGGCGCGGGACTGGGCGGTGTTCGTTCTGCTGTGCATAGGGTCGCTGTGAGTCAGAGACAACTCGACGGCACCTAACAACAAACATTACTGCCAGACCCCTGAGAATCATGGCCCAGCCAAGTTGACATATTTTGGGGACAGAATTTTATCCATGACATAGTCTATCCTTCTATTCCTGTGTGTTTATATACCACAGGTTGTCAAATATCATAGTCAATACCAGTCACTTTGTCTTGGCGAGTTGTCCTTCTCAGTGCCTCATAAGGGTCTGCCTCCCACTTCCACAACCCCAGAATGTCCTATGGGCATTTGTACCAGAGTCAGGCCGGTTTGTAGTGGACTAGTTGGTCTTGTGCAATGGTTTTGGTCTTTCTTCTTGTCCCTTTCTGCTTGTGGTACTTTTTCCTTATTGTCTTTCCCTGCGTGGCCTGAGTTTTTCTTTGCTTTGTGGTCACTTGGAAAGCCTCATGTCCACTGCCAGTTCTGTATGGAGCTCGTGTTGGTACTAGTTGCTATGGAGTTGATTCCAACTCACGGCAGCGCCACGTGTCAGAGCAGAGCTGTGCTCCACAGCGCTTTCAGTGGGTGATTTTCCAGAAGTAGACTGCCAGGTCTCTCTCCTGAGTGCCCCTCGGTGGACTTGAATCTTTACACTTTTAGGCACCACCCATGACGCTAGTACTTGGTTGGCATTATCAGCCCCAACCTCTGGTGAGGACACAGACTCAGACAGCAGACCCCCTTGTCCGAGGTGACCTGCCCAGGCACCTCCTCTCCAAGGCAGAGAGGAAGAGTAGGCGTGCAATCAGCTTCTGGGGAGGTAGGATGAGCGTTGGGTTTACCTACAGGAGTGGAGGCTTTGTGGGGAGGTGTGTGGGCGGGAGAGGAGAGCTTCCTGCAGTGTGTGGGGAGGGACAGGCTGGGAGGCAGGTTGGAGGTGGCTGCATCTGATGGCTGAGAAGTGATGGGGCCAGGCCTGCTGGGCATCAGAGAGGAGGGACCAAAGAGATGTTCAAGGAGGCAGTCGGAGGAGACTTGGGGAAGGCAGAGGTGGAGGCCTATTGACGCAAGGGCTCAGAGGGTGGTTTGCTGTGTTGTGTTAGGTGCTGTCAGTTGTTTTCACTCATGGCGACTCCACACACGACAGAATGAAACACTGCCTGGTCCTGTCACCTTCACAATCATTGTGATGTTTGAGCCCATCGTCGCAATCCATCTCATTGAGGGTCTTCCTCTTGTTTGCTGACCCTCTACTTTACAAAGCATGATGTCCTTCTCCAGGGACTGACATCCTTTGATAGCATGTCCAAAGAATGTGAGCCAGTCTCGTCACCCTACTTCTAAGGAGCCTTCTGACTGCACTTCCTTCAAGACAGATTTGCTCATTCTTCAGGCCGTCCATAGTATAGTCAGAACCCTTCACCAACACCATAATTCAAATGCATCAATTCTTCTTCAGTCTTCCTTATTCGTGGTCCAGATTTCACATACATATGAGGCAATTAAAAATACCATGGCTTGGGTCAGGTATACCTTAGTCTTCAAAATGACATCTTTGCTTCTTAACACTTTAAGTTCTTTTGTAGCAAATTTGCTCAATGTGATATGTTGTTTGATCTCTGCTGTGGTATAATCCATACCGAAGGTCATGGTCTTTGGTCTTCATCAGTAGCGTGAGCATTCCAGGCTGGGGGCTTGAGGTGAGACTAGAGGTGCGTCACTGATGGAGGTGGGACAGATGTGTCAGGAGCTGGGGGTGGGCTGCCACCTCCAGGGCGAGTGGTGGGATGAGGACATGAGCCTGAGGACCTCCCCGTGCCAGGCCACACAGTGTATCCCCCCAACACCCATCCCAGCCACCATCCCTCAGGGACACACAGCATGATGTGCACAGCACTCACCAGTGGGTGAGTTCAACTAGGCAGTAGGAGGAGACTTGGGGGAGGCAGAGGTGGGGGGAGTCAGTACTGTGACTGAGGAGGCCTGCGGAGCCAGCCTCCTGAGAGCTGGGGAGAAGCCCAGGACTCTGAGTCCCACCCTTGGAGGCCAGACCTGCACGACAGGCCTCAGGCTCTCTGCCTTCCTTCTGGGAGAGACCCTTGGGCCCCAGGTCCCAGAGAGGCAGACCTATGGGTGCGGGGGCCTGGCTGGGACCCTCATGCCCCCTGCTCAGATCCCTGTCTGGCTTTGTCTTCCCCACACAAGGCTGGGCCTTGTCCAGCCCCATCTTGGAATCCTGCCTCCACACTCTCTGTTCTAAGAACACAGTCCCCTCATTGCCTCCTGGCCACATCTTGTGCTTTCCACCCTCCACATCTTTGTTGTAGAATGTGCTCCCCAGTTCTCTGCCTCCCAAATCCTCCCTGCCCAAACACCTCCTCCAGGCAGCCTTCCCTGATCTGCTCACAACTCCTGCAGCCTGTGGACCCTCACAGGGGTGAGCATGGTGAAGGAAGGGCTCGGGTTCCCCCGGGGGCAGGACACAGGGAAAGAGCACTGGCTCTAGGGCCAGCCCCAGCCCCCCAGGACACTGGCCAGTCCCTAAGGCAGTAGCTGAGTGCCCACCCCTCCCTGTTTTTGCCCAACAGCTGCAACCTGAAATGGACCCACCCTTCTCTGGGCCACCCTGAACTCAGGCTCCTCCTCAGGGCCAGCCTCAGACATGCCCTGTGCAGTGCCCCTTCCAGTAGCTCAAGGGCAAACCTTGGACCCTTCCCCCACTCTCATTGCTCCACAAGTGTTTCCTCCTGGTCCCCATTTCTTTTCTTATTTAAAAAGCACGTGGAAGATCTCTGATCTCTGTTGTAATCCTCTTCAGTTCTTCAGGGATCAAGGTCAGGTGCAATCAGTAAAGGAAGGTAGCATTTGACCTTCTGTTTTGATCTGTAAAATGGACAGGTTACTCCCCCCCCCCCCCCGGGCCCCAGGAAACTGGCTGCAGGGGCAGTGGCTCTCAAGGGACTGGGGGCCTCTGCCAGCTCCCAGGGGCCACGTGCCCATGAGGCCCGGGGGAGTCAGGGCAGAGGGCAGCCTTCCCCTCCTCCATTCAGGTAGCCAGGGTTCCTGGGCATCCAAGGCCAGAGGCTGGATGCTGAGTTCCAGAAGGAGAGTCGCATCCTCCTCCCGCCTGGGGACTGGGCCACCGTGTGTAGCACACAGGAGGAGGGCCCGCACCGGAAAAGGCCCGTCCCAGGGCTGGCCCAGCAGGACACCCTCAGGCCTGGTACGTGGGTCTGGGCTGCAGGGCTGAATGCACAGGAGCCACCTCAGGCTGGAGGGCACTTGCTGTCAGGAACGTGGTGACTGGAGAGCTGCAGAGGAAAATCCGATGGTTACACAGGGGCTTGAGGAGCTGGGGGCGGGGTGCGGGAGGGGAGCGGCCCGAGCTCCGTATCCCAGTACACCTGGCTCCGGGGATAGGCTCCTCCAGGGAGGCTGGGCTGACTTCCCTGATGGAAAAGAGGCTGCCGTGTGAGTGGGAACTGTGGGGGTCTCCAGCCAGTGTGCCAGGCACAGGGCCACGCAGTCCACCAGACCACACGTGGCCAGCCTCACACGGGGACAATGGCAGGACAGGCAGCGAGCTGGCAAAGCAGTGGAACCACTTGCCCTCTGCAGGCCTGAGACCCGTCTCTGTGACGATGGTGGAGGGACTGAGGAGGGCACAGTGACCAGACCTGGCTGGGCCTGGGTGAGCGGCTGGGCAGCTGGATGTAGCTATTCCCCGTGGGGAGACTGGCAGCCAGCTCCAGGGTGGAATCTAGTGGAGCAGCTGAGTAGCTGCTTTAGGGACATGGTCACCTCCAGTGTCGAAGGAGCGGCTTGGAGGAAGGTCTCCTGCTTGCTGCCGCGCCTGAACCCTGCATGTGGTCGAGTCTTCATTCAGCAGCCTGCCATGCTCTGCTGACCTCAGAACTCCCAATGGACTTGAATTAATGGCCTGCTATGTGGTTTGATACCATCGGGACTGTGCCATTTTATTTGGTGACCTTGGGCTTGTCAGCCTCAGCAGCCAGTAGCTGTCTGAGTGAAGAGATGCCTCTAGCTTCAGTGGGCCGGGAGCAGGAGGCAGAGCTGAAGCCCAAGGTCAGGGGGCTTTCACACAGCCCCTAGAGCCTGGCACTTTGAACTCAGACTTCTAGCCTCCAAAAATGTAACAGAATAAACTCCTGTTTGCTCAGCCATCCCATGTGCGGTATCTTCTGTCAGAGCAGCACTGGATAACCAAACAAGGACACAGTGATGAAGCAAGGCACAGTGACCAAGGAAGAGACAGTGACAAGGACAGCACAGTGATCAGCCAGCAGGTCGGTGGACTCAATGAGGAGGCGGGCCAGCTCCAGCACCCAGCAAGGGGCTGCCACACGGCAGTGTGTGAAACAGAGGTGTTGGAGCTGCACACGTGGACGGAGGGATGGACAGAGGGACATGGATGAGGTGGATGGGTGCTGTGTGCTGCCTGGCTCCAGGTCCAGGGAAACAGCCGGGTCTGCCTCCCGCCTCAGCACAGCCACCCCTCCCCTCGGGCCTCACCTGACAGCCCTGAGCAGCCTGGCCTTTGTCCTGGAGTAGAGCTCGCAGGCTGCGAGCCTCAGCAGGCCCCCCGTCCAGCGCAGGTCTGCTGGCACGTCAGGCAGCCAGGCCACCACCCTGGAGGATGGGGCTGCGTCAGCTCTGCCCAGAGAGCCCAAGGGGCCCGCCTCCCCAGGGGCCAGCCCCGAGCCACAGGGGCCTGCAGCGGAGGCACCAGGCCCAGAGGAAGTGAAGGGGACCACTCGGGGAAGGGGTGAAAAGCCCTCGAGCAGTGGGATCCCTCTACAGAGCAGGCCAGACCCACAGGGATGCCTCCAGGTGCACACGGGGCCAAGGGATGGTCCACAGTGGACAATGAACTTGGTCGAAGCGGCCAGGCCCTTCCAGTCATCCATGCCACAGGGCACAGCAAGTGGGAAATTGGGGGATGGAAGGGCAGGGTTTTGAGGTCAGGTAGGACTTGGGTGGCAGCCGAGCTTCCCTGCTCACAGCCACGGGACCCGGCAGGCCACAGAACCTCCCTGGGCCCGTCTCCTCACCTGTCACCTGAGCACATAACCGTAAGGACTCTCGCCTCTCACATGTCCCTGCCCTGTCACAGCCACCTGACCTGGAGTTCCCTCCCTCCTCCGTCTGTCTGTCCCTTGTCTTTCTCTTCTCCTTCCCCGTCTCAGCTTAGTGTCACCTCTCCTCCCCAGACCACCCCTGCCCACTCTGCAGCCCTCCACACACCATCCCCTCAGCAGCCAGGGACCTTCCTAAAGCACCCATCAGACCAAAGCCCTCCCTTGCTCAGAACCCTCCCGTGACTCCCCACTGCCCTCTTGACAGAGCCCTGCACCCAGAGCCAGGGAGCCCGAAACTGCATCTGGCCCTAGCACAGAGGACCTGAGTCTATCTGCAAAGACCCTGCCCTGCAAGGCAGCCACCAGCGTGGTCATCCCACCACAGCAGACACAGGCCTGGGCCGGTTCCCTCTGAGTCTACCCAGTGCCCAGATCCGCTGGATGCTGCAGGCCCTCCCCTCCTTCACATCACCCCTGGAGGAGCCACGAAGCCCTCGGCTCAAAGTGGGCAGACATGCCACAGGGTGCGGTATGACAAGCAAACCATCACCTCCCTTGTTCTGGGCCCTCTGCCTCTGTTAATGCAACCTCCATGATGACCGTGTGCTTTAGAGAAAATACCAGACGTCCATTTCCCCGTGGTCTGGGCAGGCTTCCCCACACAACTGAGAGCTCTGGTGGCATAGTGCCTAAGGCACTTGACTGCTAACCAGAAGGCTGGCGGTTCAAACCCACCAACTCCTTGGAAGGAAGGCTGGGCAATCGACTTCCATAGTGATACTGCCTCGGAAACCCAAGGAGGGGTCGCTATGAGTCAGGTCCAACTCCACGGCACATAACAGAAAAGGCTAGGTTTTGAATTTATCCTTTTTTACCACAACTTGTGGCTTTGGCCTAACAGCTCAGCATGAGGGTAATTGTGTCAGCAGAAAACTCTCCTGACTTTGGGCCTCTGGCAACTGAAGCCTGACCTAGTCATTAACTCAGTGCTCAGCATGACAGAGACCTATGGCTCACCGCCGTTGACCTTTCCTGCCCAGGGAATTCAGAGCAGTTGACCTTTCTGCCCAGGGAACTGAGAAGCGTATTTAACACAGGCCTCCCCAGGATGCCTCCCTGCTTAACCCTCTGCACCACTTTCAGGATAAAGAGCTACAGAGCCCTGGGTGTGTGGCCCCGGCCAGCCTCCCCTCCTCACCGTGCATGACAGTCTCCCTTTGGCTCCAGCCACACTGGCTTCCCTTTCTGCTCCTTGCATGGGCCTCGCTCCCTCCTGCCCCAGGACCTTTGCCCATGCCATTCTAGCTGCCTGGAACGCTTTTCCCTTCCCTCTTTGACTAGTGAACCCTTACCCGCCAGAGCTCAAAATTACCTCCTCTGGGCAGCCTTCTGACCAGATAGCCAGTGTGAGCCATCCCGGCTCGCAGGAGGTGTTGGCCGTCACACCTCACAGGAGGTGTGGCTACCCCAGCTCATAGCTGTCCCAGCTCACAGGTGGTGTGGGCGTCCCAGCTCATAGCCAGTGTACCCTCTGCTAGGTCCTTCTAGTGGGAGCTGAGGCTGTACACGCGCACGTGTGACCATTTGTGGTCCAGGAGCTCCCGAGGCCTAGCCGGGTTTGGCCTCGATAACTACTGATGGAATGAATGGGTGAATTATGAAGAGTGACCACTGAGCAACAGTTTGAACAACCAAAAACAACCCAAACCAAACTCACTGCTTTGGAGTCGGATCCGACTCATAGCAACCCCTCCTTGGGTTTCCGAGGCAATATCACTACACAGGGAGCTCTGGTGGCGTAGTGCCTAAGGCATTTGACTGCTAACCAGAAGGCTGGTGGTTCAAACCCACCAGCTGCTCCTCAGAAGGAAGGTTGGGCAGTCTACTTCCATAGAGATACTGCCTTGGAAACCCAAGGAGGGGTCACTATGAGTCGGATCCAACTCCCAGGCAGTGAGTTGCATTTTATCACTACGGAAGTAGTTGCCCAATCTTCCTTCCAAGGAGTGACTGGTGGGTTTGAACCGCCAGCCTTCTGGTTAGCAGTGAAATGCCTTAGGCACAATGCTACCAGAGCTGTTTTTGAACAGGCAGTGCAGGCTTAACTATAGCCAGCCTGACCCAAAAGGGCCTTATTTGATAGAAGAGGAAGGTTAGACCCAGAGAGGCCAAGACCCCACCTCCTAGACTTACCCTCAGAGGACGCACCCTGTCTCGGAGGCTCTGATGGATGGAATGATAGGTCACAGACACGATAGGGACTGGCCAAGGCACTGAGCGGGAACATTGACTTCTAACTTGGCTGCCCCTCTGCCTCCCCCACTGAGTCCATTCTGCAGAGGAGACCACCAAGCCTCCAGGTCTGCAGCCAGCACCAGGCAGGGCAGGAGAGCAGCCCGGCTCCACCTTGCCTGGCTCCGCCCACTTTGTGTGCCAGCTGCCCTTCCTGCCGTGGGCCCTGTCTCCACCCGCCACAACCCTGGCTGTAAGTCAGCCCCTCACCTCCTGAAACGGAAGTAGACGTACTCCACGGGCAGTGTGCAGGGCAGCAGCAGGTACGTGAGCGCCAGTCCGGGGCCTGACTGCCAGAAGTGGGCCCAGGGGCTGGACTTCCTCATGCACGCCTTCCTCAGGGCTGCAAGGAAAGCTGTGGCGTTGCCTGGCCACCCACCCTCCATCTGGCATCGCTCAGGATCACCCTAACAGCAGGAGGCCTGAGCCACGCTCAACCCCAACCCCCAGCCCCGATTTTACAGAGGAAGAAACAGCATTGGTGAAGGCCATCAGTGTGTGCCCTCTCACCATTGCCCGTGAGATGGGACAGCGTATCTCCCACAGAGGAGGAGACCGAGGTTCAGAATGGAGGGTAACTTGCCCGAGGATCACCACCAGGAAGTGGCAAGGGCCAGCATGGACGCATTGCCTGTCAGGATCTAGAGCTCTTGCCGTCTGGGAAGTCTGTCAGGGTCCCCCGGGATGGGACA